GGTCATGCACGCACACGTGCCCAGAATGAGTTTTAAGCTGCCAGTTTTAAACAGACTCGAAATATGGTCGGCTACGTGGGAGTCCAGCGATGTAGCCATTACGCCATCTACTGGTCCCTCAACACTGAGTTTCAACCAAATTATCTCTTGGTAAGAGTAGAAATTAGTATTACTTTGTAAATGTGATTTCGAATGATATATACACATATTTTGCCAGAAGGTGTGTGTGCTCACCAGAGAGAGATGGGGATGGGGAGGGTGAGAAAGCACCCTCTGAGGGCATGGCCACATAATTCCTTCTCCTTTATTCTCCTTTTGGGATTTTAGGCACGTAGCACATGTGCTGACATGTTTTTCAAGCCGCTGGGTCCAGGACTTGAACTGTGTAGTTTCCTGTGCGGGATCCCGCTGCCTTAACCACCACACCACCAACTGGCCTTCCCTTAAGTGTATATTTTAAATAAATTAAAACATTCACTATTATAGGTTTAAAAAATACCACTGAGTGAATGTACTTTTCTAGGTTGAATTAAAATAGAATATTTAAGTTTAAAACCAGTTTGGCTGTGGAAAATAACGGTTTTACAAAAACTTGTGCCATGCAAAATTAAGATGACATGTCGCAGTAAGTATTCCAATTCCTCAGAACCAGTTCTCACAAGCACTGAAGTGTATGCCTTGCTTTAAGAAAGTGTTAAATAAACAGCCAAATCTGAAAGAATTTACCAAGTATAATAAATCAGAGATAAACCATCATAAAAAAAATCCATGGCTCAACGAAAAGAGATTCACAAATAGAAGTTTCCGTCTATCAACTCCAGAGTCCTACTAGCCCCCTCCTGACCTCTGAAAGACATGATTTACCAAAATCTGGCTTACATTTAACTTTCCAAGGACCCACGATCTGAACAGAAAGAATCATCAGGTCATGCTGAGTCACTGATGCTCCCTCCTGTGTCAGCCCTCTCACATACGAGTCCATGTGGCACGGAATCAAGCGTCACGAAGCATGCCAAATGCCACTTCCTGCCCAAGAAGATCTCATTTTTCTCCAGTGATGAAAAGGTGGACACTCTTCGCGGACTGTAGCATCTGGGCTGCCCGCTCCACACCCACCACGGCAGCGAGCCTCTGGGCGTCATACTTGGAGTAGAGGACAGTGCAGGTCCACGTGGCCTCTTCTCCTCTGCTGGTGGCCCTCAGCATATCACAGACTTCACTGTAGAAGTGCGGATAGGTTGGCAGTTCATAGAAGATCAGGTTCCTGATGCCTTTTATTGTGTACCTGTCAGAATGGGAAGAGGGGCTGTGTCTCCCACAGAAACGTTTGTGGAAAAGTCACCTGGGACTGAACAGTCTAGTTTTGCCCTTGTTACCCCAAGTGAGAGGAGCAAAATAATGGCACAAAAAACAGACAGCACAGAGGTGATTCTAATTTGAGCCAGAAAGCTTATTTTTCTGACAACACATTTGAATTCCTAAGGTTTGGCTTAAGAGAAGGATAGATTAAATCTATATGTTCTGAGCCTGTTCTGGGTAGGTTGAGGTATGGTGGGGAAGAACAATAGTTCAGGGTTAAAAATGTTAATCACAAGGGAACTGAAAAAGCAGGCACTTACAACTTAACATCATCCTCATTATGATCAGGCAAAACAGAAAGCTCTGGAATGGGGCAAGGTCAGACCAGCACATAAAATACACTGCACATAAGTGCATCCCCCACTGTCTTTACTTGCCACACTACTGACATGCAGGCTCCATGGCAGATGTCCGCTGCTTGCCCATTTACAAAATCCTGCCTGTGGACCCATCAGGCATCACGAGAACGCAATTAGTTTCAACAGCTTATGCATTTCCATCTCTTTCCCACACTGCCACATGGTGGGGAGAGAGGTGCAGACCTGAGGGACTCACCGTATGGCTTGGGTAGAGGCCAAATGTTCCCTCTGGGACTCCGTAACAGAAGATTTTACACATGGCCAGCTTCTGATTTTTCCTGTTTGACTCTTTCACACATTGCTGATGCTACACTCCCTTGGGAATTTTAGTTCAGTCACAGAGAATAAGTTTTCGTTGTCTTGTTATCTTACTGCTCATCCTGGTCTCTCTGGGGACCTACCTCTTCAAAACTCTGACTATGAAACATTACATCGTTTGCTTTTCCGTAAAGAAAGAATTCTAGGGCCAGGAGGTGGCACAGAGGTTAAGGTGGCTAGATCCCACATCGTTGACTGTGTGGTTTGAGTTTGGGATCTGGAGACTTGAGAAACACACCAGGCACATGTGCATACAACCCCTCCCCCCCCAAAAAAATCCTGAGAGTAGAGGAGAAGGGACTACAGTGTGGCCTCCCCACTATAGGTGATTTCTCATTTTCCCTCTCCCTCTTTCTAGTGGGTGCACACACCCTAGAGGAAACTAACTAAACTAAATAATATGTTATTTAAAAAAACAAAAAAAAAAAGAATTCTAATGGCTAATGAACTAGAGTAAACTGTCCTAGTCACCAGTTACCAAAACAAACAAACATTGAGTTCCACTTCTGGTTAGTATGAGAAAACATAAAGAGAATGCTTCCACACTAACAGGAAAAACCCCATATAACCCATAAAAGCATTCTTTTTCTTGAGCCCGGAGAGCTAATATTATCAGGTAGCCAGGTGAACTGAATTCAGAGAGCTGAATTCAGAGGTGTGCTGGTGTGGCTTCAGTAACTGGTTCTCAGTGGGAAAGGATGGGTGCTGGTTCTAAGCGTCGGCCATTTTTGTACTGTTAATACTTCTACTGAGGCCCCTTCTAGCTATCAACGCCATGCTATTAAACACATTGTAGGAAGGACTGTAACCAGCTCTCCTCAGCCAGTATGAGCCAATCCCCGCCCAGCACTGACTGAATTCCAGAGTGTGACAAGCCCTTCTTTAGAAAAATAGGCCACACAAACCGCTGCATCTCTGGCAGAGCACAGGAGAAAGACACTGGCTGCTGGATTCCCACATGGCTGAAAGCAGTTTAAGTCCCAGAATCAGGAGCCTGAAGATCACACTGGGCATGTATGTTTGTGTTTTCAAGATCCCAGGGGAAGGGATCATCATGGTGTGCCCATTTACCCTGGGAGTAATTTCTTACTTTCTCTTTGCCTCTCTCTAGTGAGCCTACACGCCCACCTCCCCACCCCCACCCCAAAATAGGAGAGAGAAAGCGACTGGCTGCTCAAAAAGCAGATATGAAGAAAAGACCTATACATTTTTTTTCCAGAGAGAAATCTTTGCTATAGGGTTTGTGTACCCACCTGACAGACAGAAAGCAAGATATCACCCCCCAAGGGGGAAGGCCACATATCATCCTTTCTCCTCCATTTTCCTCTTGGGATTTTGAGCACCCATGCATATGCCCCCAGCATGAGTTTAAGCTGGGTCTCAAACCATGGTCAATTATGTGGTAGTCCAGTGATGCAACCATCACACCATTTGCTGGTCCCAAGAGCTACACTTGGAACAAATTATTCGAGGGCAAGTATGAGTTTGTGTGACAGTTCTGGATCCCGGGGATCCTTCAAAGCTCCTTTGGTTCATATCTATTCATGAGCTATTTCCAGGAGCCTCCACTCGGAGCCCTGAAGAAAGACTGGAGGCATGGCAGAAGATCTGAGACCCACTGGCAGTGCAGATGTGAAAGTCCACCCACTTCCCATGTCCTGAAACCCATCACAAACGCCTGAGCCAAATGGGAGGAGGCAAGAGCTCCCTGAAACCAGGCAGAAGTAAACTATGATGGGGGGGCACAAGTACAATAAAATGTGTCTATCCCTAAGGGAGGGGCTCTCCCCACAAGACTTGCACCTGGTAGAAAGTAACCACAGTGTGCCCCTGGGGAAGGGACAAGAAATGAATCCAGCCCAAATTGCTGCTGCTGGAAGCACATGTCTACCAGCACAGGGGAAGAGGTTCCACCAAGACCTGTCATGGACACAAGGGAGAGCTGGCTGCCATGGAGGTGGAGGCACAGGAACCCTGAAATAAGCCCTGCCTCCAAACCCTGGAATGAATAGGGTTTGCTTAAAACTGAGCTGGAAACGGAAGAGAAGCTTACCCCTACTTCATGCCTTGGAGGGAGTAACAAGCAAGAGTATGGACGGAGGTGCCCCTCAACACAGGTATCCAGGGCTGGGTGACAGCTGGGGCAATTAGGACACGGAAAAACCCTTCGGCACCCAGACCCCACACTAAGTCCCCTGTCTTCTGGAAGTGTGTGGTGTAAGGAAGGTTACTGCAGCACCAATCAGATCCTGCCTAGACTAGAGGTAGAGCACCCACACTAGTGGCCTAAAGAAGCGGAGGTGCACCTCCACCTGCGATCGAAATGACAGAAAGCAAGCAAGAGACAGTAAACAACGGGGCAGCATTCTGACTATCAAGGCACTGGCAGTCATTTAATCAGTGGGGTTGTGCCGACATGGGACACTGGAGTATAAACGATTATGTGAATTTGGAGAGGGGAAAAGATATGAAAATGAGAAGGAGCAAGTAGGCCTGTATGCCAAATTTCTGTGTAGAAACTTTGTACTAACAATTTTCTTTTCAAAATCTATCCTAAGGAAATAAGTACACCATCAAAACACATGCATCTGGGGGCCAGCAGGTGGCGCCGCAGTTAAGGTGACTAGTCCCACGGGCCCACCTGCATGGTTCTACAGGCAGTGTCAGAACAGTGGCACAGTGATAGCACAAAACTCAGCGATGCCAGGAGCCAAACGAACATGAGGGTGTGGCTCCCAGGTCACTGTGTACACGCTGAGCGCACGCATGCACACCCAGGATTCTGGCTGGCTAAAGACTGGCAGGGGGTGATGGGACCTCAGAGTGAGATCCCTTTGTGAGTGCTTGTCTTTCTCTCTCACATGAATTAAATAAATGTTGTAAGTACTTTTTATAAAGTTGTTGCCATAGGACGCATGTGCTTGCCAGGAAAAGACAGTGAGAGGGAAAGTAAGAAATCGCCGCCTAAGGGGTTGGCCATGCCACAATCCCTGCTCCTCCACTCTCCTCCTGGAATATTTCAACATGCATGCATGTATGCACACAGAGCTGGCATGATTCTTTTTTATTTTTTTTTTTGAGAGGTTTTTGCTATAAGGCGCATGCGCTCGCCAGAAAGACAGAGAGAGACAGAAAGCAAGAAGTCATCCCCTGGGGGGGATGGCCACATCGCAATCCCTTCTCCTCTATCCTCCTCTCAAGATCTTGGGCACGCATGTACATGTGCCTGGCTTGAGTTTAAGACACCGGGTCCGGGACTTGAACCGCAGTTGACTACATGGGAATCCAGTGACATAGCCACTACACTAACTGCTGGTCCCAGAGCTGGCATGATTCTCAAGCTGCCAGGTCCAGGACCCAAATCGTAGTCATCAATGTGGGAGTCCAGTGTCATAACCACTACGACACTTGCCGGTTTCATCTAAGTACATTCTTAAAAAAAGAAATCACTTAGATATGTTTCTATTACTATTTATGTTTGGTCCCCACTCCTCTAGACACTGATTTAATTGGTACTGGCATAAAACCTGAATATTTAGATTACTTTCTTTCAAAGTTTCATTTATTTCTTCCATGAGAAGAGACAGACAGTGGCAAGGTGGTGGGATGGGGAGTGTGCGCCTCCCATTCAGTGCTCACACTGTGATCCACCCCCATCTCAGCCAGCCCAGTCACGGCACATGACTGCGCCTGGAGAGCAGAGGGAGGCCCTGAGACATGATCCCGGGACCTTCGCATATGGGTCCAGTTGCATTACGATTTCACCATGCCCTGGCTCAATAGTTATATTTTAAAAAAAAAAACAAAGAAAGGGGCCAGCAGGTGGTGTGGAGGTTGGGGTGCTAGACTCCCACATGGCTGACTGTGGTTCAAGTCCTGGAATCAGTGACTTGCTTTGTCACTTTCCCTCTCTCTCTGGTGAGCATGTGTGTCCTATAGCAAATTTTTAAAAATAATAATAATAAATAAAATTAATAATTCTTCAAATAAAACAAAGAAAATCTGGGGCCAGCAAGTGTCATGATAGTTAAGGTGCTGAACTCCCACATAGTCGACCATGGCTCAAGTCTCGGACCTTGTGGCTTGCTTTCTCATTTTCTTTTCCTTTTCCCTTTCTCCCTCTTTGTCTCTCTCAGGTCAAATTAAAAATAATAATAATAACAAATTAAATTAAATTTAAACAACAACAACCAAAAAAAACACAAGAAAATCTCTCTCAGTCCTAACTAGCCGACAATAGTGACCAGGTACCTTTCGGAAACAGGATGTGACTGGAGCTTCTTTAGAGGGGCAGTTAGAGACGAATCTCCACGCCCTAGCTCATCTCTTCTTCTGCTCTCTCCCCCCACCACATATGCTTCAGTGACCCCTACACATACGGCCTAACACCCTGACAGGACCTAAAACTAAGGACGTTCCAGCTTTTACCTGCTAACTATTACAGATAAATGGGGGGACTACAACTGACTTGAAAGGCTGGCTGCTCCAAACTATAGAGTGATTCTACTACTTCTAGAACTGACATTGTCACTTAGAGGCAGGGGCACTCGGAAATACCCTGGCAGCCTTTCCACATGCTACAAAATCCCACCCAGAGTCTTGCGCCCTCATGAGAATCCTCCCTGCTTTGGTATCCACCGATCACGGACAGAAGAACAGGGAAGCCTCCCTGGGAAGGCAACCGTGACCAAACACCCAGATGCTTCTAGGATTCTACTGGTTTTATCTTCCCTGAAGAAATCTAATCTCCCTGGGGAACCAGCAGTTAGCGTAATGGCTATGTCGCTGGACTCCCACGTAGTCGACCGCGGTTCACGTCCTGGACCCGGTGGCTTAAAACTCACGCCGGGCGCTTGTGCGTGCATGCCCAAGATCCCGAGAGGAGAATGGAGGAGAAGGGATTGCGGTGTGACCATCCCCCCTGGGGGGTGATTTCTCGCTTTCTGTCTCTATGTCTCTCTCTGTCTGTCTGGTGAGCGCATGCGCCCTATAGCAAAAATCTCTCCAAAAAAAAAAAAAGAAATCTAATCTCCCTAACAGTGCCACCTGTCATAGAGATAAAAACAGTATTCCAAAGTTGATTACTATAGTTTAAAATACATGCACTTGGGAACAACAGATGGCATAATGGTTACGTTGCTGGATTCCCCTACAGTTGAGCACAGTTCAAGTCCTGGACCTGGTGGCTTAAAACTCATGCCAGGTGCATGTGCATGCATGTCCAAAATCCCGATGGGAGAAGGGATTGTGGCCATCCCCCCAGGAGGTGATCACTCACTTTCCGTCTGTCTCTCTGGTGAGCACACACCACTTATGGCAAAAATCTCTCTCAAAATAAATAAATAAAAATTGGCACTTCTTTTCAAAGTCAAATAAAAAAAAAAATCACAAAGGCATCACAGAAGGAAGTATGGCAGTCTACTTGGTAAACTAAGCACAGGCCTTATGGCAGACTACAAGCAGGTTCAAAAGGGGCCCCTGAAGCTAAAAGGTGTTGCAGAGCTCAGTGGGAACAAATGGAAGAAGAGAAAGACGGGCAAAGACAAAGCTCCTGGAAGCGACAGGGCTGGACAAAATGAACGAGGAGAAGCAGCACGGCCTACAAGTGGACCCCAGCCCAGGTGGCTTTTGAGAAGATACAGAAGTGGCAAGTGGAAAGGATCCTGAAGAAAGCGTCCAGAACCCACAAGAAGAGAACAGAGGACTTCAAAAGACAACCAGATACTGTGACGGAGCATTACGACCTTCCCAAAGTCCGCTGGACGAAGTAGCCTCCTGGCTCTGGGTGTGGAGCGGCACTGAGTGGAAGCAGAAGGCAATGCTGGGGTTGTGTTTGGCCTCTTTGTTATTTTCTAGAAATGCTCTTTTGTATCTTCTGCTAGGAACAGCACTTTTTAAAGCTGTATACCCTCATTCTGGAACTTGATTAAAAGCAAGACAGTCCTTTAAAAAAACAAAGGCATCACAAATGAAAATATCTATAATCACTTTGTGATCTCTTAAGCAAAAACTGCTTAAGAGCTTAAGAGTTAGATACCCTGAGGTAACTGGGGTTGCAGAACTCTGAGGCACATTACTTTCATTCACCTTTAGTACAGGAAACACCCAGGAACCCGTTCCGGGGCATAAAGCAAAGGGCACATGCTGAGATTTCTCTTTGCAGTGACTTGGAGGACAAGATGGCTTGGTAAATGAACAGTGCTAAGACAGGACTGTCTTGCCTGCAAAGGGCCCTTCCGACACCACGCCTTCTCCTCGAGAAACTGCCAAAATATCTGAGAGCAGTCCTCACGCCAGCTTAATTTCCACTTGCAACACACAATCACACTGAGAACTTTTCCAATCCATACCCTTCACTTACAAAGCTTGCTTTCACTTATCAGGCTGATAGAAAGCTAAGGGCTTTCTATCAACTCACCCCCAAAAAAACTTCTCAACATGAGTAAAAACAGTAAGTTACTGAACTAATGCAAATGATGACGCCAACAAACAGGCAATCATTAGCCACCGCAACAGAGTCTCACCTCTCTACTCACAGACGAACTAGTCAGCAGAATTCCTAAAGAGGTCATGCCAGGCCTGCTTGGCTGTGCCCAGGGAGGCTGCTGGGATTCCTCCTCCCTGTGTCCAGGTAATGAGCGCTTGCCTGGGGAGCACCAGCCTTGGATTAACGTACATGAAAAGGCAATGCGACACCACGGTGCCTCATCTAATGTGCCCCAAAGCCTGGGAGACTTCTGGTCATCTGTTTGGGATTCCCTGAGAAAATGTATCACTTATAGTGATTACAAGTTATTAAAACAGTAAAGTCAGAACCGAAATTTACTGGATCTTATGGTGAAATCAGAAGAGGTAAGAGAATGCAATTTCCACCTCTCTGTAGGTTTAAAACACCTGAGCTCTGGAGCCACAAGAGCTGCAAGATCCCAAACAGTAACAGGAGGCTCAACAGTACTAATATTCTAATTAGAATTTTTAAAAAAATTATAAAAGAAAAGACCAATCCAATGGCTTTATCGAAATCACCTGGCGGGGGATTAAGTAAACATAGAAACCCTTAAGTATTCAGGTCTCTGCCCTTCCCCCTTTGCCGCCTGCAAACATCCATCCTGGCTCTCAAGGAGGAAGCAGCTATGTGCACACCTCCTCAGGAGCATGCTGCCCTCCACACATCCTCCATGCTGTTACCTGTTCCTCAATGACCCTCCCCTTCCTGTATTCACTTGAGCTATTCTTGTCTAGAGTCGCTAAACTCGGTAATTTTTTTTTCTTTCATGATGAGCAAGAGAGGCAGAAAGCCAGAAACTGAGAGAGACCCCAACAGTTTTGACACCACAACCCAGTTCTAGCTTCAGCCAGCTCCTGATCATAGGCATGTTTATGCCCAATAAGTTCCAATGTAAATCTAGAACCTTCCATCATGCATCAGCCTCGCAGAGCATTGCGTTGCCTCTGTGCCACTGCCGAGCCCCCTGTGGCGTCTTTCCTGAGGTGTGCAGCCACAGCTACACTCCAGGCCTATACGCAGGTTATGCTTTTATGTCCACAGCCTTTCCCAACAATGCCCACTGGGGAGAAAACTCACCAAGTAACCAAAAAAAGTCTGTCTAGCCTTAACCTCGCTGGCTTGCCTGCGAGAGTCTAGAGGGAGGGAACCTGTGTCACACTGCAAAGCCCACCTGTGCTCAGAAGCAGGCCATGTCTACACTGCCCTTTCAGACAGGAGGCTAGGATCTGGCACTACTTACCTTTTGTAGAAATGGAAGCGCTCTGTGAGGAGCAGGAACTGCTTCTCTCCTTGAAGGAAGAAGTGTCTGGCCCTAGAGACACCAGACTTTGGGGTGTACTCGCAGATGTGAGTGAAGTTCAGTTCCTCCTTCTTGAAGTAATTTCGGAGACGCACGAAGTCAAAGTAGGAAGGGACGTATATGAGCGTGTGGGACATGACCGCGTCACGATACTGAGGCAAAATCTTGTTCACAAAGAAGTTAAACCTGATTTGCAAAGACAAAGGCCAGAGTTACTAGTCTAGAGTGAGCCTGCAGTGTCCACCAGTGACCCTGGACAAGTCAGACTCTCACATTAAGAGATTACCTCCCTAGAGGCAACAAGACCTGCTCCTCTCAAAGGGATTAAGGATAACATTTGATAAGCACATTTAAAGGTAAGTGTGTGAACTACCTGTTATAAAAAGTAGCTGTAATGTCATTGCATCTCAGAGAATTACTGGAGGTGGTATACACCACACCATTCATTCATTCAGTCAACAAGTAATTATCGAACATCTTCGACGCAACTTTATACTACTATGGGGCCCCCTCTAACTCCAATGATTAAGAGGGAAATGTTTACAGATTAAAAAAATTGTTGTTGTCCTAAAGGGCTTACATTTAAGTTGCTGACAAGGAATGCTCTGTAGCATAAAACAATGTTAATGTAATTTAAAAATGTTGGGGCCAGCAGGTAGCATGGAGGTTAAGGTGCTGGACACTCCCACATGGCTGACCACGGTTCGAGTCCTAGACCTGGAGGCTTGCTTTCTTATTTTCCTCCTCTCCCTCTCTGCCTCTCTCTGGTCAAATTAAAATAAATGAATGAATAAATTTAAAAATTTAAAAATGAATAATTCTTTTAAAAAAAGTGTCAAGGGAAATGGAGCCTTGCTTTACAACTATAGGTAGTTAGCCCTGCCACTAACTAGCTACACAACCTTGGTGAAGTCACCATTTCTCCCTGGGCTTCAGGCTCTTCTTCTGTCAAATGACAAGACTGGGTTCAATAATTTCATCTAACTTGGTAAACAGTCATCAATAAAAGCAACATGGAATCCAATTCTAAGTTTGTATGCCAAAGTCAGATTCCTCTCCATCACCCCAAGGGCCCTTGCAGAGGGGTTACCTGGCATCAATCACTGAGGCTAGGTTTTCAGCTTCCATCCTCTGGAAGACATGCGGGAGCTGCACCAGGACATGGCTGATGGAGCCTGTCATTGGGACGTTCCTCACGGCCACCTGCCAGGAGTCAGGGAGAACATGAGGCAAGCTGTCCTCTGTGGGCCAGATTCTACTCCTTCCTCTTGCTTCACGACCCACATGATACACAGTGCTCACGAGACCCAGAGGAACCTCGGAAGAACCCACCTGGCCCTGCAGATTGACGCAGTACTTGTTGAACACCGAGTTGATCTGGGCATCCTGCAGGGCCCCAAACAGCAGGGTCTGGCGATAGTACTTGGACCAATTATTGAGGCTCCACATCCGCACTCGGGAGAAGTCGACCCCGTGTGAATCCAAGGGAAGTAAGTTCATGTGGTTCATCAAATGCTGAGTGGAAATAATGCCAACACTAATGTTAATGAGCATTCAGGTTTGGACATGGCTAAGCACTTCACAAGTTTACCACCTCAGTTAACCCCACGGACGTCTACTGTCACCTCCCAAATGACAGCAAGAAAACCAAGACTCAGGAGCCAGCCTCACAATGTAGCAATTAAACCCTATGCAGAGGAAATCAGATTTATACCCGGGCAGGGTTTAAGTCTCGGCCCTGGTGGTTTACAGAGTGGCAGATGCCTAGGGTTTTGATGGGTAAAAAACTGGAAGAAAAAGGGCCGTAGCACGACCAGGCCCCAGTGTGAGGTGTTTCTCCTTCTACCTCATGCATACATGCAGTGAATGACTTGCTTATGGTCAGCCAAAAATTTCAACAAGATGACAAGCTGAAACTGGCTACCTCCTTGACTTGCAGAAAAGGTTTCAATGGGACCAGCAAATAGCACAGTGGTTACATCACTGGACTCCCGTATGACTGGCCGCTGTTCAAGTCCCACACCCGGTGGTTTGAAAATCAGGCCGGGTGCTATGTACATGCTCAAGATCCCAGAAGGCAAATGGAGAAGGGATTGTGGTGTGGCCATCCCCGCTGGGGATGATGTCTCACTTTCCCTCTCACTGTGTCTGTCCGTCTCGCTCTCCCCCCCCACCTCCGGCAAGTGAGTGCACATACTCTAAGGCAAAATCTTCTTTAAAAAAGAAAGGAAAAAAGTTTCAGTGGTACCTAAAGAATATTCCTTTAAAAGAAATTCTGGGCGGCCCGGGATCACGCCGCCTGCGCGGCCGCGCGCCAGCAACAGCCCGGCCCCACTCCAGTGGGGGCACCGTGGCCCCGGGGCTCACGCCCCTGCCCAGCATCCCTGGCCTCTCCGGTGCTGGATGGCCCGGAGGCCGTAAACAAGGTTGAAGAGCTTGCAACTTGAGAAGATGACGGTTACCAGCCCTGCATTACCTCAGGGGAAAACAAGAACTACTCTGCCATTCTTAAGGAAGCCAGATACCCAAGGACAATTGTGGATCTGCCGGAGACCCTTCCTTATCCAACCCTGAGTGGAGTTTATGCTCCCTATTACCAAAAACTTTATGAGCTGATGGTTGGAACTTGTGGCCTCTCTCCCTTTACTTGTATGTATCACTTTTTCAGTAACTCTTCTGGAAGACAACTGTATATAGCAGGGATATTGTAATGGGAGAGTGAGACAGGGCAGAGGGACAAACATAGGAAAAATTTAAAAAATAATAAAAAAAAAAAGAGAGGAAGAGGAAAAAAAAACATATATATGTGCATAAGCAAGAAAGTAGAAGTGGAATATTATTGATGATAACATGCTTGATTGGGTCACTGTGCAGTCTATTCTAGATGGGAAATTACATTTAGTATGCTGTGATGATGCTCAGGGAATGAATGTTAGGGAAAAAAAAAAAGAACGAAAACAAAAAACAAACAAAAAAAAACGGTTAAACTATTCGTACCATTTAAAAAAAAAAATTGGATATTTGATGGCTGCAGTGAGCGGTATGGGCCCAGTTGGGTTCTACTTTATAGTATGCTCTTTTTACCCAATGGGGTTTAGGCCTAAAGTCAGACTTGAGTTCATGTAGAGGCATGTGTCAGCTGTGATAACTATTGGAGAGACTTAGACTAATTAAGATCACTGACAGATCATTTGGGGAGGGGTGAGGCACGGAGGGCAATCGGGGATGACAGGGACAATGTGGGAGGAGGATGGGTCATAACAGAGGGAGGGGGATGGGGAATCTAGGATGGTAAAACAAAAGGCAAGGTATGCAGGACACAAGAATTGGGAAATTATTTGCTGAGAACATATATGTTGACGTGCTTGATTGAGCCAATGCACAGTGTATTTTGGATGGAAAATTCATTTGTGTGTTGTGATGGGGAAAAAAATATAATAAAAAAAGAAATTCTGAAATGCCACCCTGCTCACACTATGGACCCTTCCATCCCAGATTTGGACAAGAGAAGTGATATGGAAAAGAGCTGCTGTCTCTCAACGACCCGGCTCTTCCCAGAGCAGGAATATTCCTAGAGCCACCATGCCTGCCTTTCCCCTCAGCAACTATGACTCAAGATTCACTTCCCATTTTAATTACGTTTTCAGCTTGTAATATATAGTGAAGGAAATAAACACTAAGCATTTATTCCCTACTTTATAAGTGTACACTGTTCTTTATGTGTCCTAGACGTACTGCAAGCTTCAAGCCCTGGGGGTGTAGAAGTGAGTTCTCATATGCCTTAAAAAAATCAAACCTAGGGACCAGCAGATGGCATAATGGTAATGCTGCTGGACTCCCGTGGAGTTGACCATGGGTGCAAGTCTTGGACCTAGTACGTGTATGCCCAAAAACCTGAGAGGAGAATGGAGAAGGAATTTGTGACATAGCCAGCCCCCCAAGGGGTGATTTTTCACTTTCTATCTCTCTGTCTCTCTGTCTCTCCATGTCTCTCTATCTCTCCAGTGAGCACACATGCCCTACAGCAAAAACTCTCTTAAAAACCGTAAAAACCACAAAACCCCAAAGCTATAGTGGTTGGCCCTGTAGCCTAGTGGTTTTCCCAGGGTTGGCCCTATTGTCTAGAGGTTAAGGGAGCTAGATCCCACTGACTAACTATGATTTGAGTCCTGGTCCTGGCGGCTTGAAAAACATGTCAGGCGTGTGTGTCCCAAATCCCAACAAGATGGAAAAATGGAAGAGAAGGGATTACAGTGTGACCACGCCCCACTGATGGGTGTTTCTCCTTTTCTCTCTGGCAAGCCCATGTGCCATCTGGCAATTAAAAACAAAACAAACAAACAAAAAACAAAAGTACAGTCCTGTCAGAGCAGTTTTTTTATTCTAAAACTGACCCAACTGCAGAGTATATGAAAAAGTAGAAAATAATTACAGCATGAATTACAGGAAGGGAATAAACGCATCCTACATTTCGCTTCGAAACAAGATCACATATTAAGCAACCTTACACAATGTTCTCCCATCTCTACTAAACACCAAACAGGAGAGAACAAGCTTAAACTGTGAAAAATGTCTTACACGAAGATGTTCCTCGTGAGGACGTTTTCAGCCATGCACCCTTCTACCCATCCAATCACACTAGAATAGTTTATAATAGAAAGTGAGCTTCAAGGGGAAGAAAGATTTTCTGAAATACTGGCAAAATTTTTTCTCTCTCTGGACAGTTTAACTATTGACCAATTTGTACACAGTAGAGGGGATAAAAAACTTTCAAAGTGGAAAATGTCAAGTATTTCCCTGTTTCCAAAATGAATTTTCACCTGAACTTGGCCTTGCTAGTCTCAAACCATCGTGCTTGTCCTCTAAACACAATGCCTTCCACTAGGTGTGAATGACCAGCCTTACCAGGACATGCTCCCAGTTCTGCATCAGGTAAATGTCAGCTTGATCGATGACCAGAAGCTCGATGGAAGACAGAAAGTCAAAATCTCTCTTCTTCTCTCCTTCTCCACCAATAATTGTCCTCAAGCCCAGAGGGGAAGCGATGAGGATGTCCGAGGAGTAGAAGGGAGCGTAGAGTCGGATGCTCCTCTGAAGTATGGCTACTCCTACACAAAACAACCCGTGACACATCAGTTTGCTAGTCACCACCAAGTCACCACCTTCCACCTCTCAAAGCGTCCCCCACTCCCCACATCTACATTCCCCTTATAACTGTGCTCGCATTGCTTTCCTTATTAAAAAAACAATAGTAGTCAGCCTTTGTATCTACAGTGCCTTCTACAATAGTTTCTACTTTACCATCGGACTCCACTGAAATGACTTTTTAAAAGAATTATTCAATTTTATTTACCATTATTATTTTAATTTGTTACAGGATACATAATGCACCCATGAGAGAGAGAGAGAGAGAGCGAGAGAGAGAGAGAAAGCGAGGAAGCAAGCTGCCAGGTCCGAGGCAGTCACTGTGGTTGGCCATGTGGGAGTCTAGCAACTTAACCACCGCGTCACCTGCTGGCCCTTGAAATGACTCTTGCTAGGCTCCCTGACAGCCCTCGGTTATCAAGTCAATAAACACTTTTTAGGGCTTCTTACCAGGAATGAACAAGTGGTATGTTAAACACATCCTTCTCTGAAATGCTCTTTTCCTTACAAACAGTTTCTACAACTTCAATTTCACTTCTGCTTCTAGCACTGACCTGGCCCTTATCTGTCTTTCCAGATCCAAATACCTCTTCTTCCACAAACTCCTGGATATACCTGTCAGTTTTACTCTCATTCTACATTAAGTTTTAACAGATTTACTCAGTAACCATGGCTTTAACATCACCTTCACACAAATCTATAGCTCCTGCCATCTCTTCCCTGAGCTCCAGGCCAATACTAACTGCTTGCTGAACACCTGCAGGCGTCTCAAACAAATCGTCTGCTCGTCCCCATGCCTTACATTCCAGCCATAATGAAGCCTGTGACTGTTGGGTCATTCCAGGCTTAGTCGCCCTGGTGTCTCTGCATAGGCAGTCTCCTCTCCGAAATGCACCACTCTAACCATCTCACTTATTTAACTGGATAAATTCTAATAGTACTAGTTTCACCTAGTACAGATGGCACCTCCTCTGCCAGGAGGGCCTTCCCTAACTAACTTACCTCCATTTTGAGTAAACGACTCTATTTTAAATGTTTTCAGAATACCAGTTTCATTTATCATCCTGTTTTGTCAGTTCTCCCTTAGCAAGACTCTCAGCAAAGGAACTGTAACTTTAAGTTCTAAACCCCCAGCTTCTTAACAGCACCTGACTCACTATAGATACTCAATAAGTGTTTTGAATGAGTCCATGTAATTAATAAACATTTTTCCAAAAACTACTCTCTCAAGATACAATCAATCAAGAAAATGAGAGCTGAATGACAAGCAAAAACGTGCCAGTCTGGATGGGAGTAAGTCGCACACGGACGTAATTGAGGGGCAAGCACTCGATACGGTGGGAAGGAGGTAAGTCCATCCACCCTTCCACTTGAGCAGTCTATTCAGCCTCCCCAGAATGACCACACCAGCCTGTCACATCCAACCACCCTGAGAAACTCCTACAGTGCTGGACTCTGTGCCACCAGCTACAGGTGTGCTGAGACATAGATCATAAATGTGCATGTGCTTCTCATATGGCCTCATAAACTCTCTCCACCCCATTGTTCTTCCCACTAGCCAAGGCAAGACAAGCCCTAGCAAGCATGATGCCTCAATGAGGAGGCTGAGTCCATGACCCTTCGAGAAGGCCTGACTCCAGGCTCCGGCTGCGGCTGTATGTACTTTCACCCCCAGGCCTCACAGTGTCTCCTTGACAAGGAGGAATTACCGATCCTGAAGTGGTCATCGATGTTGCCCACGAACACAGCCTCATAATCCTCGGGCCTCTTCAGGTTGGGTGGTCTCTCTTCGGGATCTGACCCGTACTCTCCCTGAAACCTCTTTTTGTTGCTCACAATAATTTTCTTCTTGCTGTCGCCCTCAAGGAGACTGATGAAAAGCTGTACCACCCGCAGAGCGGCTTCCCGGAAGGGCACCACTATCAGTACCTGTGGAAGGACAATGGCAATGTTGGTGGGGACAAGGAGAAGCATGGCAGCTCGAAGTATAACTGTGGAGGAGGTGGAGCTTTTAAAAACCACTACGTACAGCAGGAGCCCTAGCCAGGGGTCGGATCTGGGTTATTTCTTTTGCAAAGGGCCTGGCTCGGCACTAGAGGCTGAGTCCCTTCTGTATCCACGGCACCATGTCCTATGGACTTCAGTCTCATGGCTCCAGAGGAGACATTTCTCAAGCAAAAACCCAAAATGCTATTAGGACAAGCTAATGCCTGTAACGGATGTGCCCACCAGCAAAAACTCAAGGATATAAATGCATAGCTTGTTGAGGCAAGGAGTCTTACTCCACCACCTTAGTGCAGTATTTTTATCCGTAAGTCCCATTGAATCATATAGGAAACTTGAAAAAGCCAGTAGAGACGAAATTAACGTATGAGTTTATTGGGGCCAGAAGGTGGCATGGTGGTTAAAGCACTGGACTCCCACATGGTCAATCGCAGTTTTCGTCCTAGACATGGTGGTTTGCTTTCTCACTTTCCCTTTCTCTCTAGTTCTGGTCAAATTAAAATAATAATGATGATAATGATAATAGTAAAAAATGAAAAAAATAATTATAAACAAAGGTGAGTTTACTTTGGCACAAAAATATCTGAAACCAGCCAGTTTTTTTTCACAATATACATTTTCCGTGAACTTTTTGAAGATACTTGAATATGTTTATAACTAAATGGAGTAAGTAGAGAAGACATGAAACTAGTAAGGAAAAGGATTTAAACATCATTACTTTTTTTTTTTTTTTCAAGTTGCTTTTTTTTTTTGGAGTGATTTTCACTGTAGGGCGCGTGCGCTCGCCAGACAGACTGAGAGAGACATAGAGACAGAAAGCGAGAAATCACCCCCCAGGGGGGATGGGCAGGCCGCAATCCCTTCTCCTCCATTCTCCTCTCGGGATCTTGGGCACGCACGCCCACGTGCCCGGCGTGAGTTTTAAGCCACCGGGTCCGGGACGCGAACCGCGGTCGACTACGTGGGAGTCCAGCGACATAGCCATTACGCTAACTGCTGGTTCCCGACATCATTACTTTTCTGGTGTATTTTCTAGTATATTTTTCAGAAGAGATGACTTAGAGTTTCTGAAATAAGACCATATCTTGATGAAAAACAAAACAAAACAGAGCTTGGTTTTCCAAGCATTTCTAAAAATACTTAAGAGTTACCAGAGAATAAAAATCAGATGCTCAATAATGGTTGATTTTATAAACAATATGATCAATGGACAGAACTCTAGTCAAACTTAGGATTCACAAATTATACTGCATGGGTAATCTCTTATTCTTCTATGAGACTCTAAATAAAAATGGATAAATCTGTAATCCTGATCTTCTAGACTCTGAAGTAGCTTCCCAAAAGTCAGCTTTCCTAGCCACAGGAGTACAGTCACTCAGCAAGACTAGCACAGGAGGGTAGACCAGGAGTCAAGTGGGCTGAGCTACTCTCCCAGTGTCACCTCAGTGTCTGCTCTTTGGTTTCCCCAGCTATCAAATAAGGGGGTCTGACAGAGAAATCTCAAAAAGCCAAACCTGCATTAAAATCCTAGAATAGCAAGACTGGCACAGGAGGGTAGACCAAGTGGGCTGAGCTACTCTCCCAGTGTCACCTCAGTGTCTGCTCTTTGGTTTCCCCAGCTATCAAATAAGGGGGTCTGACAGAGAAATCTCAAAAAGCCAAACCTGCATTAAAATCCTAGAATCAAACAGACAACTCTGAAGAGATGAGGCTTCTTCAGTATGGAGACGTAGGCTAAGAAGGGCATAGGACCTCGCTCCATACCAACATGAAAAGTAGACAGAATTCAAAGACATAACCCCTTAAAGCCTCGAATCCACTGGAGCTTAGACTTATAGGAACAAAATATGTAATCATCACCTTAAGCACCAATAACTTTATAGTGGCAAATGTTTTTTTTTTTCTCAAAAAGTTCACTTAATTATGTGGCTTAGGGGAGGGAATCCTTGGTTCTAATCCCATTTCTGCTACTCTCTTCCTGGTTCTCCTCAGCAAGACCCTCTATGAATGTGGGTCTCTGTCCACAGTGCTAATGCGTAGGCTCGTTAAGATCCTGTCTAATTCTGAGAACCACAAAGAGAAGGTTTATAATTGAAGTTATTTATGTATAGGTGGGTTTATCTTTAAGGGCAGCATTGTGAAATACCTTCTCACAAGTTTCCAGCGAGGCCTGCTGTCAAGAGCAGTCCACTGATCTGTCTGCAGCTCTGCTAACTCCTGGCTCACTTAACATGCTCACTTTGGGCTTATTCATTATTCCAGTCAGTTACAAAAACACCCAAGTAAAAGGCACCTGCAGGGCAGTGTCTTACAGCCTTTTTGCAGGAGAGCTTTCCTGCTGCAACTCACCTTAGGCCTTGTTAGCCCTTGGTCCCTGAAGTCGTCATCATCCCCCACACCAAGTTTCTGGCTCCGGCGCCTGCTATTGTTGCCCAGCACCTGGGCATTGGCTTTCAGGACGTGATTTATCACATGCAGGCAGTACACATGGCGGATCTCTTCCCCATTCTTCAGGGCAGTCCTTTCTGGGTAGAACAGGTCCCGGTAAGAATTCATAATTAAGAAGAGTTCTTTCTGGAGAGGGGTAAAAGGGCTGCTTGATTGTTGGGGACCAGATAGGAACTGGCTGTTAGTCTTAGCCCAAGTAGATCCCAAAGGTTTTTGAAGATGAAGTGACTTTAAGTCAATATCCTTCGAGGGTTTAAATGTTTCCAACTTCTGGAACTTGGATGAAAAGACAAGCTGGCCCAGGATGGGCCACTAGGGGAAAGACAGATCAAGAACTAAATCAGAAATGAGAAATAATACCTTACATTCACACAGTACTTTATATTATTTACCATAAACTTCCATGATTTCTAGATTATCTTATTTAATACCCCCACCAGGCCTGCAAAGTAGATATAATACACTACAGCTTAGGAAACATTGAAGTTCAAACAGAGGCTATGTGATCTAAATGAAGTTGACAAAGGAGGAAATGGAGTTGAGGGCTAGATTCCAAAGTTCCTGACACCAAATGTGAGCTCTTTATCAGTGTTTCCTACATTGCTCTGTGGAATATAGGCTGACACAAGGCAAAATTCATTCAAAAACAAGGAGCTCTGTGGTCGAGTGACTTTGGTAAACACCACAAAATTCAGTCCCGCAGGGAGATTCACAATGTCTGTTAGATACTAAAGGTTGTGACAAGAAGTCTGTCCACTCTAACACAAATGTTTCCAAACTTATTTGGGCATGGCATGATTTTTTTCTTTTTATTTTTTTCCTATTGTAATAGACACATCTACCTGAATCCTAAGGAATACTACTTGGCAAAAAAAGGTATTTGGGAATTCCTGCACTGTAGCAAAACTGCTGATCTAAAACTAGGACGAGTTCAGCAATATAAAGAACTACTGATAGCTGAAGCAGCTTGGACAAATCTCCAGGGAATTAAACAGAGTGAAAAAAGTCAATCTCAAAAGGTTACATACTGTATGGTACCACCTATTTGAGACTTTGGACATGACAGGATTACAGAAACGGAGGCCGGATTAGTGGTTATCAGAGGTTAGAAATGGGGGGGTGAGAGGGGAGGTACATGGAGGTAGATGTGGTTATGAAAGGACACTGGGGATCTACACCGTCTGGAAACCACCAGTTAGCGTAATGGCTATGTCGCTGGACTCCCACGTAGTCGACCGCAGTTCACGTCCCGGACCCGGTGGCTTAAAACTCACGCCGGGCGCGTGTGCGTGCGTGCCCAAGATCCCAAGAGGAGAATGGAGGAGAAGGGATTGCGGCGTGACCATCCCCACTGGGGGGTGATTTCTCGCTTTCTGTCTCTATGTCTCTCTCTGTCTGGCGAGCGCACGCGCCCTATAGTGAAAAACCTCTCCAAAAAAAAAAAATTATACTCTAAATTCTGAGATGCTCCGGGGACAGTGAGTACAAGAAATGTCTTAAGAAAGGTCTCTTGTGTGATTTTTTACAACTGCATGTGTATATACGATTATTGCCGCAATAAAAATGTCAATCAAAAAAAGGACAATCAACTTTAATGAGTAAAAACATGAGTGAAAACTCTCAGCGATGAAAACAAAAAAGCAGAAACTGTCCCAATACCTGAATAATTTATATGAAAATCTATTTCAGATATTTCAAACAATGAACAGCTGCAGTAACTACTACCTTACTCAACACTGTTTCGCTAAATACTTAATATGTAGTCAATAAGCTAAAGTCAACCCTTGAATAATGAAGGTATTAGGGCACTGAGCCCCTGTCCAATTGAAATTCCTTGTATAAGTTTTGACTCCCCAAAAACTTAACTACTAATAGCTTACTGCTGACTGGAAGTATAAGTAGATTAACATATATGTTGTATGTTACATGAATTACATATTGCATTCTTATAATAAAGTAAGCTAGAGAAAACATTACGAAAATCATAAGAGAAAATATATTTTAAATATTACACTGTATTTTCCCTTGTATTTATTGAAAAATATCTGTATTTACGTGGACTTGTGTGGTTCAATCCCATGTTATTCATGAGCTGGCTGTACGTAAATTTTGAGGTAGGTAATACTGTCCCCCTTTGCCGAATGAGAACAGCCAAGAGCAAGGAGGCAGGAAACATGACAGTTCCTTAGGTCTGTGACAGCCCCTTGCAGATGCTGGTATAAACCCTGTGCACCTGCCTCCAAAGCTACTTTCACCCATCACTACGACCTGGTGCCCTTGCTCCTGCTCTCCAGTGCCTTTTTTAGCTACACCTGTGCCCTATGAGGCTCTGCCAGCCTTCCTATGCTCTGCTTCCCTTCCAAGTCATCAACCACTGGTATGTATCAGGCGTCCCCAACTCCTAAACACCAGATCAGTACCAGTGTGTGGCTGTTAGGAACCGGGTCACAAAGCAGGAGGCAAGTGGTGGGCAAGTGAGTGAAGCTTCCTCTGTACTGAGAGTCGCTCCTCATTGCTCACTTTACTAACTAAGCTCCGCCTCCTGTCAGATGAGCTGGACATTATTAGATTTTCATAGGAGCCCCCAGATGAGACCATCTAGTTGCAGTAAAACAAGCTCAAGGCTCCCACTGATTCTGTATTACTGTAAGTTATATATTGCACTATATACTACAATGTAATAATGGAAATAAATGCACAATAAATGCAGTGCTTCTGAATCATCCTGAAACCATCCCCTTTCTTTCCCCTCCAGTCTATGGAAAAACTGTTTTTCATGAAATTGGTCCCAAGTGCCAAAAAGGTGGGGACCACTGGTATCTATTGTACGACCCGGGAAACTACTAAAACCTAGGACTACTATTTTACATAGCTTTTTCTACTTGTGACTAGGACGATCTATTAACACTTACTTTTAGCTGGTGTGTAGCTTTGGGATTTGTAGCAATAGCCTGAATTTCTTTTTCTTTCAGTTCTTTGTTCACATGTTGTAGAAATGGATCTAATTCAGAAATAAAAAACGTCAATGCACTTAGCACAGAGTAAGTTTCCAGTCTTCCCCTGTGAATGGCATGCTGTTCTCCTTGGCCTTAACATGTTCTCTTGCCATTCTACCTTCCTCATCCTCTAGCCCAGCCCAGAGCTTTTTAAAACCTTCTGACAGGCTCACGTCCCTAAAATATTTCTCTAAACACACTATTTAGCTCAAAAACTTTTAAAGAAATTTCTTCTTCTGAAATTCATGGCACCATAGAAGGCAGTCCAACCTGCCTCTCCACTGTAATTTCTGTACTATACGGCTCTCAAATCCCCCATGGGAGTGATTCCTTGCATTCTGTCTCTCTGTCTGTCTTTCCGGCTAATGCATGTGCCCTATAGCAAAAATCTCTCTTTAAAAAAAAAAAAAAAAAAAAGAGACAAAACAGGGACCAGCAGATGGTGTAACTGTTGCATCACTGGACTCCCACATGGCCAGCCACAGTTCAAGTCCTGGACCTGGAGGCTTGAAACACATGCCAGGCATGTGTGCATGCGGTCCCAAAATCTCAAGAGAAAAATGGAGAAGAAGGAATTGCAGCATGGCCATCCCTCAAAGGGTGATCTTTTGCTTCTGTCTCTCTGTCTCTCCAGAGAGCACATGCACCCTCTAACAAAAAAACTCAAAAAAACAACAAAAATAAAAACAGTTAAATGACCCATTCAAGGCTCCAAATGGTAAAGTTTTAAACAAAATGCACTTAACACTAAATACCTAAGATAAGAGTCAACAATGGGACATAAGAATTCTAGGTGCTAACAATTTTTTATTCACAAAACCACCAGAATTTAGGTTCCTAATGTTTCCTCTGGGTTTTTAAGTTTTTATGGTTTAGAATAGTTTGTACTAAAATTCTACAATTTCTTCCTGCTACTTGTCCTTCTCTGCACAATAGGGAACAGAACTAAATGAGCCAAATGAGGACTGAAATCTCAGCTTCATTAGTGGTAAAACTGGGCTGAAGAATGGCACTCAGGGGCCAACCTGTGGAATGGTAGTCAAGGTGGCTGGATTCCACATGGCTGAATGTACGGTTACCAGATGACTTGAAAAAACGTACAGGGCACATGAGTATGCATGCCCAAAATCCCAAGAGGAGAATGGAAGAGAAGGGACTACAGCATGGCCATCCTGCTCCCCTGGGGGGGAGGGGGATTTCTCACTTTCCCAAGCTCACTCTTTCTAGCGAGCGCATGCGCCCTATAGCAAAATAAGAACAAAAACAAAACAAAACAAAAGAATGGTGCTCAGATCAACGGAAGCAGTCAGGACATAGAATGAGAACAACCTGACTTGCCCACTGAGGCACAGGCTGAGGAACTGGACCTGGAGTAGAGACAGCAGTGACCTGCCCAAGCCTGCCTTTGGCAGGCCTTGTCCAAGTGACTGCCTTCTTGTCACAGGCACCGTCAGGAGGCTAGGAAGACAGAGGAGACAAATGAGGCTTTTGGTTTCTGAGACTCTCACTGGTAACAAGCAGCACTCAGAATAGTCACACCGAGGTTTCACAAACCTGAAGAATTACTGCTGCAATAAGTAAAGGGTAAAAAGAAAAGTGGGAAGTATTTTCTCCTCTTTCTCTTCCTTGCCCAAGGAGCAAATTAGTCTTCTCCTAGCCCCAATTATAGAAATGTGAGGCCTATGGGGTATGGCCTTCCCATCTTTCTTAAGCTGTTTGGTCTCCGCAAGATCTCCCACCACTCCCAAACAGTGATTAACCACTGAAAAACATAAAATTATCTGTTTTTAACTTTATTTATATTAATTTAACCAGAGAGGGACAGAGAAAGAGAGAGAGAGAAAGCAAGATGCCAGGTCCAGGAATCGAGTCACAGCCAGCCATGTGGGAGTCTATCACACCTAACCACCAAGCCACCTGCCACCCCCCACAAAATTATCTTTGATAAGTATTTTTATTTCTCAGCACTAGATCCAGCCACCACACTTCTTTTATTGCTGCTGGTTCCAATAACAGATTAAATATGAATTCATGCACAAACCCAAACTAAGCACCTGGTGAATTCAAACAACACACAGCTCTCTCACCATGCGATGCTTTCATAGAACAGCTGTCTCTACTCTCCTCTTCAAGAAAATTGGTTTCCAGGCTGAACAGTGACTCATGTTTTGCATCTGTGAACTCCTCAGGAGATTCTTGTTCTGATGTGCCAGGTGGTCCTTTCCCATCTTTTCCCTCAGGGTCAGCAGATAAAGCAACATCTACAAGTTTGAGAAACATCTTGTAAAACGACTTACTCACAAATAAACTTTACTCACAAATTAAGGTTTACCGTGGACCCCACATGGTAGGGAATTATGTGTCATCCTGGCTGGCCCACAGTGCACAGATGCTTGGTCAAACAGCCTTCTGAATGTTTCTGTGAGGGTGATTTTGGATGAGATTTATATTACCTTGGCAGACTTTGAGTAAAACAATTACTCTCCACAATGTGGGCGGGCCTCACTGAATCAGGTGAATGCCTGAATAGAACAAAGTCTAATTTTGAACTCCAACTGAAGATCAGCCCCTCCAGGGTCTCCTGTCTGAATGCTTTTAGACTTGAACTACAACTCCTTCCTGAGCCTCAGGTCTGCCAGCCTCCCCCATCAGATATTTTAAGACTCGCTAAACCACCACAATCACATGACCCAATTCTTTAAACAGATCTTCCTCTCCCTCCACATCCTATTAGTTCTGTATCTCTGAAAAACCCTGACCAACATCCAGTTCCAGCTTTCAAAACTTATGCTAAAATGCTAACTAGATACTAAGACAAATGTGAGGAAATATTCACAGAAGTACGATTGTAGCAAATAACTGAAAAGAAAATGTTTATCCAGGAAATACCAATTAAATAAATAATCACATATTATTTACAAGGGAATACTATGTGATTAGGAAGCTAACGTGGGCTGCTGTGACACTGCTCCACAGGCTGTGACCACACTGAAGGACAGGTTCAGTTCTGAAGGCTAGGTGTACCCGCAACTCTGGTGACTTAAGAGGCTGAAGCAGGAGATTGGCAATAGAGTAAGATCCTGCTCTGCAATAAGGAGGGGGAAAAAAAAGAGGCAGCAGCAGCACTTAATGTGAAATCTACAGTAACAGACTTGAGAAAAGGTCCACATTATATTAAAGAAAAAAAGGTAAATTATACAAATGTGTTAAGATTGACACAAATATATGCACATACTTGGACGCACATATATCCCACAAATGTAGTCTGAAAGGTTATATACAACATTAAGAGTGTTCATCTCTGTGTAGTGGGGATATACTGATAGGTTAACTATAGTATCCTCTTGAATTGTTAGAGTAAATACGTTACTTTTGCTCTAAGTTCTTTTCTTTATTTGAGACAGACATGCATGCACACAGGCACCCCAATACAGTCTTCACAACACTCACTATTCACCCCCAGTCTCAGCCAGTCCAGGCCATGGACACGTGTGCATCTGGAATGGTTTTAGGATGTGAACCCAGGACCTTTTCCATGTGGGTCTAGTTATGCAACCACTGCACCACCACCCAGTCCTTACTTTTATACCTTAAAATATGAACGTTTTTATTTTAAAAATCCAAGAAGCAAAGAAAAATAGAAACAAACAAACAAAAAGACCTAAGTCTAGGGCAATAAAATTTTATCACAGTAAAACTTATCAGTTAAAATTCCAATAGTTATACCATAAAGTACTGAAGGGGTTAAAAAAAAAAGGCTGTTAGGAAAAAGATTTTAGATAGTGAGATTCAAAGACACCCACTTAGGGCTGGCTCTGTGGCCTAATGCTTAAGGGAGCTGATTCCCATGTGGCCAACTGTGTAGTTCAAATTCCAGCCCTGGTGGCTTGAAAAACAAGCCAGGCACATACACATGCAAATCCCAAATCCTAAGAGGATGGAGAAATGGAGAAGAAGGAATTGCAACATGACCACACCCCCCTGAACGATACTTTCTCCCTCTCCCTGGGTCTCTTGGGCAAGCATATGAGTCCTCTGGGGGAAAAAAGAAAGTCACCCAGATATGCAAACAATGGAATACTGTTCTAGCAGTACTGAAGACTAATACATCAGCAATTTTTTGAAGGAACCACAAAAATGCAAAAACAAAAGCAGCCAGAAGCAAAGGAGTTAATACTCTCTAATTCCATCTATGTGAATTTCTAGGAGAGAAAAAAACTTACCTATAATGACAGAAAGCAAGTCAGTGATTGCCTGATGGCAGGGGTAGGGACCTGCTTGCAAAAGGACAAGGAGGAAGTGTCGGATGTAAAGGAGATGTTCTGTGTCTTGACAGTGATGGCAATGTACACGTCAGTCCAAACCCATCAAATTGTGTACTTAATAGGATCTATTCTATTGTACCTCAGTGAAGCTGTCTTTAAAGAAAAAAGCCATCTAGAGGTCTGAGTAAGACAGAGTTCCTCTGGGCTTTCCATCCAGCTCTTCCCTGAAGTCATCCCCATATATTCTGGAGTGTGTAGCTGCTGAGCTTCCCCTCGACACCTCATACGCACACAAATGCAAATGTACTGCTTGAAAATACTTATATATTTTTATGTCTATCCTCCATCAAACTTGGTGTCCCTGAAAGTCACAAAGGTCAGAACTATTAAAATATCCTTATTCCTTTGTATTCGAGGGTCTTTCACTAGGATTAATAAAATGTCTGAGATCATAAGCAAACATGGTTTTTTATTTTGTTTTGTTCTGATTTTTCTGGGGAGAGTCATGTGCTTTTATCAGATTCTCACAGATGTAATGAAACCCCACAAGGTTAAGTCTCTGCTTTGGGTCATATACTTACACCCAACTCTTACAGTACGAGGCACTGTGCCCACAGATGCATCTGTCTATGGCCCTGCAAAGATGAAGACCACACACCAAGGACACTTACTCTCATGCATTTCAGTACGCTCGGCTGCCACCTCGTCTTCCACACTGACATCACCACCACCATCATCATTGTTCGTTTCTGCATCTACACTATCTTCTTCCTCCTCCTCTTCTTCCTCCTCATCTTCCTCTTCTTCCTCAGAAACATTTTTTAATGTAGCAAGTAACTTGTGGTACCCAGAAACTTGTTCTGGTTCACTCTCTGCTTCGCTTTCAGAATTTGAAGTATCTGAACTCTCTGGCTAAAAGGAAAACAGGAATTTTTAAAACAAAACTACATTGCTCTCATTGTTACCCTAAAATCATCATCTAGCCAACATATTCAGACTCTTCTAGATAAAAATTAGCTTTTCTACAAATATTATGCCATCTATTTACCCAAGTCCAGCACCCAGTTTATTTAAAATAGCTAATCTACTTACAATTCTAAAACTTAATATTATCTGAACTGCTAATGCCCCAAAGGGGAGGAAAGAAAACTCACTTTTAAAACACAGAGCTTGAGTTTATACTGAGTTTAACTTGTGCCCCAGACATGAAGCTATATGTTTAAAGGAGCAACAGGAAAATCACAAAACAACAGATAATGTGATTTTTTTTTAGTTTGTTTTAATGTGATAAAAACCTTTGTTCATTTTGCTATTTGTGACTTCTTTTATATTGAGCAAAACAGATACTCCTCCTCAGGATTTACTAAGAACCCTCTGGTAAAGTTCTTAACAGGGCCTATTAGGGTAGTCTTTTGTAACGACTTCGAATTCTGACTTCTATACTAGTTATTATGATAGTATTTTTATACACATCTACATTTAAAAGAAATGTAATTAAAATACCAGCTTACATCTAAAATTGAAAGGAACGTAGAAACACAGTTATGCTTTATTATTATATATAACCTTAAAATGAACAACTCAGAGCCAACCATTACAAAGAAGGTATAAAATACAGCTTTACCAGTTGACAGATCAGTGGTTTTGCTTCCTTTTTGGAAACCCTGAGAAGAAACAGACAATATTAAACTATAACCACTAGTATGTAGCAATTAGGGAAAAGTCTAATGATACAACTTTAAATAACAAAGGCAGAATATACCATTACAAGCACATTGTAACTGTAGTCATATAAAAACCACCAGGCAGTTGGACAGGAATCGCAAGAATGTGACAAACATGTAACTGAAAAAGTTTAATGAGGTTACATGACAAATGCTAGTCACACTATCTTACCAAATAAAAGAGCTCAAGACTCGCCTCTTTCTATAGTAATTTTTTTTTTCCTTAAGAGGTTTTTGCTATAGGGCCTGTGCACTCTCCACAAAGAGAAAGACAGAAAGCGAGAAACCACCCCCCAGAGGAGATGGCCACACCGCAATCCCTTCTCCTCCATTCTCCTTTCGGGATCTTGGGCACGCACGCACCAGAGACTGGGTGAGTTTAAGCCACCAGGTCCGGGACTCGAACCGCGGTCGACTACATGGGAGTTAAGCGATATAGCCATTACGCTAACTGCTGGTCCCTATAGTAAAATTCTTAATTTGAATGTCCTTCTAACTGCTGATAAAGTGATGGGATAAGCACTAGTATCATAACCGAGTCTGGAAATTTCCAAAGAAACTACAATTCCGGCTACATCTTCCTTACTGTAAGCGGATAAATCAGTGATGTAGATGGTCCCAACCGAGTTTTTAAAAACACGGATACACACACCCGTTAGGTCTCTAACCACACAAAACATGCCCGCATACCATGGGCGTGTCGTCTAGCTTGAAGTTTAGACATCAACCAAAGGTAGAAGCCCGGAGAAGAGCGCCATCTCGGGGCGGGATGGTGCCAGATCCTCGCGGCCGAACGCCCTGGGCTCGCACAGCGGGCGTCAGCAAGCGTGCCGAGAGGCCGGAGCAGCCCTGGCACTATTGCCGGGGAGCCCAGCCGACCAAATCCGGGGAGCGCCCGCTCCCACCGGGAAACGCGTCTGGCGGCGCGGGTCGCAGCCACGCCCCGCACCTGTCGTAAAAGGGGTGCTCCTCGCCGAAATCCCGAAGGTGCTTCTTCTGCTTTTTCGTCAGGGTGCTGAGCAACTGGCTCCGACTCCGGCTCCCGCGTTTGCCCATGAAGACACGTCAAGTTTGCCAACTTTAAGAGCCGCGTCGGCCACCAAAAAGTAGTGCCGTCAACACAGACACGTGGGCTTGCGGACGGCGCTTTACGGCGGAACACGGTGCCACAAAGCAAATTCGCTTTACGACGCGCTTGCACGACAGGCGTTGGAACGTCGGTTCGCGATGCTGCCCCCTACCGAAGCTCTTAGGAAGCACAGGTACGCCGCCCCCAGACGTTCTCGGAACCCCAGAACGTGGGCCACCGGTGGTTGGGGCTTTCAGGGTGGGGAGATGTGGGTGGGTTGGGGTGCGTGTGCTTGTCGCTGCTATTTTGGTTGTGACAGTCGCCCTGAGTGAATGTGTAGTAGGCGAGATGGTCGAATGCAGTGACTTTGTATACCGTAATAAAAATCCCACGTGACATTTAAGGCTGCAGCATGCGAACATGTCTTTAGCAAACCTGGTGTTACATATGAGGAAAGCGAGGTGTAGAAAAGATGACACACTGGCAAGAAGGCATGAAAACTTCAACTGCACTTAGAAGCGACCACACACTCTTGGCCACCGCGGTCTGCCACCTGCGTATGTGGCAGCCAGCCCCTCCCCGCCCCCCCGTGAAGCTGAGCTTCCTGCCCAGCACCCCGAATTTTGTGAAAGTTTGGGAGAGCCAGCCCTTGGAACCGAATCCGTTCTGGCAGTGCGCAGTTGGCAAGAGCAGAAGCACACCCACACAGATAAAATGGCTCCTAAGATCACCCTGAGGATTGTCACTGTTGGAAAAGGCGGTGGAACTCAATCCAGTGTCTGAAAACCGAACTGGCCACAGGGGCATAAGAAGACTTTTTTGGAAGATTTCTTTTTGTTTTTATATTTTTGCCATAGAGCATGTTCACTCGCTGGAGGGAGACACAGAGAGAGGAAAGTGAGAAATCAACCCCTAGGGGGAGTGGGCACACTCCCTTCTCCTCCATTCTCTTCTAGGGATCTTGGGCATTCACAGCACTCCGCGCTGGTGAGTCTCAAGCCACCGGGCAGGGACTCAAACTGTAGAGTTGACCATGTGGGATCCAGCGCCTTAACCCCTACACCCATGCTGACCCCTTGAAAGATATTTTTTTTAAAGTTTATTTTTTCCCTGAGTGAAGGGAGAGTCTCTGCATATGAGAAAGACAATGCCCCCAATAGGGTCTTAAAATACTTTATTTTAAATTTTTATTAATTTCTTCCCTGAGTGAGAGACACACAGAGAGACAGCACTTCTATCAGGATCTTGACAATGAGCTCCACTGCAGCTTAGCCAGCTCTGGATAGCCCCAGACACGCTGAGCAAACCCAGGACCTCCCATGTGTGTCTGCCTCACAGAGTGTTCTGTTTTTGCTTTGTTTTGTTTTAAGGAATTATTTATTTAGTTCTATTTATTATTATTATTATTTGATCAGAGAGAGAGAGCGCGAAAGCAAGCTGCCAAGTCTGGGACTCAACCCACAGTCCACTATGTGGGAGTCCAGCGCCTTAACCACCATGCCACCCGCCAGCCCCACAGAGTTTTCTATTTTACCAAAGTAACACCTTCTGGCCCCCTGGAAAGGCTTTTCTAAGGTGAAAGAACCGTCCTGTAACTTGATCATAGTGGCGCTTATACCTGGTTTATAATTACCAGAATTAAGCTTACATTTAAAACTGGTGGATTTTAATGTTATGTAAATAATAACCTAAATGAACCAGCAGAAAAAAAGCAAAAAATGAAACTGTACTTCAGAGTAATGCAGCAGCGGGCAGAGCTACTTGACTCCACACGATAAATAAACATAGTAAGACACTTTTTCCCTAATAGAAACTGACAATGTTGTATGAAAACAAAGTGCTAAGTCATAGGCTGCAGAATTCGCCTGAATATTTAAGGCAAAACACAGCCATCAAAGACAGTTTTTTTTTGGGTCCTGCTGATTGGGATGCTTCTGCAGGAAATTCGAGTTTTGCTCAATACCAGGGCGTACCAAAGAAGTTATAATAATATTTCTAGAATGCTGTTCTTGTCTGTTCTAGAAGCCATCTGTGCTCTCTTAATTAGATTCTGGGAGGCCGGGTGAAGAACAGAGGCCAGGGTGAGAGAGTATCAAGAAAATATACAAACAGCTATGGTGCCCTGCAACTGGCCCAGCCAAGGAAACCATAAATAGGCATCTGCCTTCAGTCCAATCTAGATAAAAGGTACCGTCACTTAGGTCAACAAAAGACTGTTTGTAGAATGTCATCATATATTTTAAGGGGCTGACCACAGTATAACCTGGTTCTAACAATGAAAAGCCATACTATTTTTTCTCCTCCCACCAGATCCCAAGTGCCCCACCTTCCCTTGCCAGAGGCAACCAGTTTCTTGGTGTTCGTCCAGAGACCCATGAAAAGCTCTACTCTTGAGCACTTGGGATGACTCTTCCTCTCTCCTGGTTTCCACACCCTGTGGTCCTGTGCACAGGTCTAAGCTGTTCTCTGGTTCAGGCAAAAACCCTTGCCCCACCCAAACAAGCTCATCATTGGCTCACAGAGTAATGGAAAGCAAGCCCTTTCTCCCTCCTGAAAATATTTCTGTTGGCCTTTGACAACATCAGAAAGATTCTTTGTGAAAATTTAACCTGAGAGCCAAGCATTTAGACTTTTTTTTTTTTTAATATACCTCCAGTGAAAGTTCTCTTGACAAAACCCTCACAAAGAAGATGTATATGCTGATGAATGAAGGCCCCGGAAAAATGGTAACAAAAGCAAAATGTGACCTCTCCCCTCTTTCTTCTTCCCTCCCTTGGCCTTTCCTTTTTCCTCTCCAAAGGTTTTCTTTTACCTCTACTCAGAGGCACTCAGTATTTTTAAGGTGATAGGCAGTCCAGGAAATGGTCAGCTATACTAGTTTACAAAAAGATGTTATTGAATTAATACACTACTTTCCCTAGGATGTTTGCAGTGTCTAGTAAAATTCCAAGAAGAATGTTCTCAAGTAATAGGAGAGGGATGGATCTCCCTTAGGATAAGAATAGCAGAATATTCAGGAAGCTATTGTGAATTTTTAAAATGCCTTTTCTATGGAAAATTTCAAGTATATGCAAAAGTAGACAAAATGGCATAATGAATTTCCATGTGTCCATTAATCAACTTCAATAATATATACACCTACCCACGTCCCTGTCCTCACTCTGTAGTTGTTTTGTTGTTGTTGTTGTTGTTGTTTGTTTGTTTGTTTGTTTTTGTCATTTATGAAAGATAAAAAGGGAGGGAGAAAAGGGGGGAAATGGAGGGAGAATGAGATAGGTATTTATCACTTCCACAAGGTCTTGCTGTGTGGTGATCCTCCTGCCCCAGCCTTGCAATTAGCCAGGATTACAGGCTCACTCAACCATGCCCAATGTTCAGGTGGGCACAGGAACCAAACCTGTGTGTACTGTGCAGCCCAGCTCCACAAGGGGTGACATTTATGTGTGTGGACCTAGGCTACCACTCTGTTATTTTTGAAGTGAATTTCACATATATCATTTCACCTGTGAATATTTTCATATGCATTTCTAAAAGATAAGAATTCTTTTCTTAAAAAAAAACAGTAGCCACAATGGCATTATTTCACCTAAAAAAGTGACACTGCTTAATATCATATGGCCAGTGTTTAAATCTCTGATTGTCTTCTAAATGCCATATATTTTTTTAATACTGTATTCATTTAATATGTTCCCTTGTTCTCTATATTTCTCATAAATTGGTTGTTGAATCTAGAAGTTTGGTTAAACTTTGTTAAAGATGATATTTCGTACTTCCCTCAGCGTACAATGTCCGATTGCTTTTCCTTTTGTGATATTACCAGACGTTGATGCTCTATGTCCAAATTCATTGATTTATTAATGCACTCCGTTTCTATCTCAAGGCGAAATCATGGTGATTTTCTAATTCTGTCATTTCTTCATTTGTTTGCTTAACTCTTTCTATGAAGAGAAACTTCTCCATTAACTAAAGTTTGGTTACCCTGAGGTACAGTTTATATAGGGAAGAATAAATGCTTGATTCTTTCCCTTCATTTACTATTCTCTTTTTTTAATGAGAGAGAGACAGAGAGACAGAGGGAGAAAGGAAGCCACTAAGTCTGGGACTCAAACCATAGTTGGCTATGTGGGAGTCCAGTGCCTTAACCATCACTCCACCTGCTAGCCCCAACTAATTTTCTAACATAAGGAGTTAATCACTAAATCTTCTCAGGATGACCAATCATGTATTTGTTTTTATTTTTTGTTATTATTATGAACTCATGGTGTTGTACAAATTGCTGTATTTTAGTCCCTTGCAAATAGTGTGGTGCACATGGTTTGAAAGAGCTATTTTGATATATAGCTCTATATTTAAAAAGACAAACTACTGGGGCCAGCAGGTGGCGTGGTGGTTAAAGGTGCTGGATTCCAACATAGCTGACCATGGTTCAAGTCCCAAACCTGGCAGCTTGCTTTCTCACTTTCCCTTTCTGTGTGTGTGTGTATGTGTGTGTGTCTGTCTGTCTGTCTGTCTGATCAAATTAAAACAATAATAATGACAAATGGAATTAAATAAATAAGTAATTATTTTTAAAAATAAACAGATAAACTACTTACTAATACCAACTGCAGAAGTAAGCAGGGGTCTGTGTGAGATTCTCAGTAGAGCCAGGGGGACCCACAACTTGAGGGTAACTTTCAGATACTGGAGATGTTTGCGATCTGAAACTTACTGTAATAAGTTATGGGAATAGCAAGAACACATATTTTCCAGATATGTCTAGAGGGAGCCATGTGCAAACACAGCTTCTGGTTTGGGAAGGTTCTGTGAAGGGGCCTGTGTGTGTCCGTGTGTCCTCCTCATCTTAAATCACACCGTTTCCTACGTGAGAGACCAACTCTTCCACCTCATGTACATATGTGTTTCTCTGTATTCACCCAAAATAATCCAACCTCTCCCTGAGAGTACTGGCAGAGATTGGTCTCTCACTACTCTTATAAAATCACACAACTTATTTATTTGTTCAAAAAAGAGTCAGAACCAGCAGGTTACATGGTGGTTAAGGTGCTGGATTTCCGGGGCCAGAGTGGCTTGGTGGTTAAGGGCACTGGACTCCTACATGGCCAATCGTGGATTGAGTCCTGGACCTGGTGGCTTGTTTTCTCACTCTCTCTCACTCTGTCCCTCTCTGATCAAATGTAAATAAATAAATAAAGTCAAGTAAAATAATTCTTCTTTTTTTAAAAAAGGCACTGGATTCCCACATGGCAGACACTGGTTCGAGTCCCAGACTTGGCAGCTTGATCTCACTCTTGCTCTCTCTGTCTCTAGTGAGCTCAGATGCCCTGTAACAAATTTTAAAATAATTATAATGATTAAGACTGGCAGGCAGTGTGTTGGTTAAGGGCGTTGGGCTCCCATATGGCCGACCACAGTGTGAGTCCCAGATCTGGCAGCTTGCCTTCTTACTTTCTCTGTCTCTCTGTCTCTGTCTCTGTCTCTCTCTCTCTCTCTGTACCCCTCTGGTCAAATTAAAATAAATGAATTAATTAAATTAAATAATTCTTTAAAAATTATTATAACAATACAAAAAATTAAATAATTCTTTTAAGAAAAGTGCCTACCAGACACTTACCATGTACCAAGTACTATGTTGGTAGCTAAAGATACATGAGATACAATAGGCTCCATGCCAGCCTCCTCAAGGAGCTCACGGTCTTGTCTGGGTACGGATGAGTACACAGACCATTACAGTGCTCTGATAAAGGCTGAACCGGGCAATGCTGGATGCTTAAAAAAGCAGCAAGCACAGGTTTACCCAGACTGGAGGTGAGGGAATCTGCTCCCAGGCTGAGCATTTGTCAATCAGGCACCTTCACTGAACATTGAACTCAAAATTAATCTGTACTCTTGATCTGAGACAGTGGGCTGATTCGGCTGGCCTCATGACCAACGTGTGTGTGCTCGAGAAGGATGTGAGAGAGAAAGGACAACAGGAAATTAGAAAGCTGTGTGGTCATCGGATGCCACAGTGTTTATTGTACAGGGAGCAATAAAGTTGCCAGGTGGAGTGTATTTTAGAAAATATCATGTCTGAGGAAAGGGAAGCTTTGCAATGCATTGCGAATAACATAGAAATGTGGTTTCTTCTTTATATGGTTTCTACCCTTCCCGTTCAGTAAGAAGTACCTGTTGTTAAACCCTGACCCTGGAATACAGTGATTATTAAATGCATTTTCTCAAGCTTATCAGGGGTTGATTCCCGTTAGCTGTAGGTTAAAACTGAAAACAGGCCTAAAATGCTGTGTGGGGAGATAAAGTTTGACATCGCTCTCTTTAGTGGAACACTGGTATTACTACACATATTTTTCATATTTCCAAGGACTCTAAGAACATACACTGTTTCATTTATCAAACACTAAGTAGCTACTATGTTCCAGACGTGACACTAGGCATTAAGGATTTAATTTTTTTCACTACTTCAAAATGCTCTTGCTAAACTGCCTCAGTTTCCCAGCTGGGACTATAGGTCTGTGACTAACTTTTTTTTTTTTTAAGGTTTTTGCCATAGGGCACATGCACTTGCCAGAGAGAGATAGGGAGAAACAGAGGGGAAGTGAGAAATCACCCCTCAAAGAGGATGGCCATGCCACAATCCTTTCTTTTCCATTCCCCTTGAGATTTGGGGCATGCATGCATGCACACCTGGCATGATTTTCAAGCCACTGGGTCCAGGACTTGAACTGTGATTGGCCCTATAGGAATCTAATGCTATAACCACCATATCACGTGGTGGCCCCATCTGACTCTTTTTTCAATAGGGTCTCACTGTGTTGCCCAGGCCAGTCTTGAGCTCACAGTCCTCCTGCCTCAACCTTCCTGAGTCACTCGGATTACAAGAACACACCATTGCTCCTAGTAGGCATGAAGGATTTAAAAAGTTCAAATCTCAGACTTTTCTCTTGACCTGTAGTCTAGTAGGGAGACAAAGCAATGAACAAATCATTACACTGTCACATGCTAAAGTATGTGAAAAGGGCTGCAGGAACTCATAAGAAACTCATTCTGCTGTGGAGGGAACAGAGAGGATGGGCTGAGCCAGGTTTCCTGGGTGAACAAAAAGGGAAAGAACATTCAAAGTAAAGAGGGTGCAGGAGCAAAGGTGGAGAGCTGTGTTTGGAGAACTGCAAGTGATCCATGGAGTGAAGAGGGCAGGTTGGAGAGTCAGGTAGGCAAGGAGCCAACCCGGGGAAGGCCCTGTTGAAAAATTGAGGTCCAGTCCCCTAAAACATGAGGAGCCATTAAAGGATTTCAAGGAATGAGTTACGTGATCAGATTTGGATATCAGGGAAATTACAGTGATGTCGGGTGGGGGTGACAGGGCTCTTGACTCTTCCTTGAGCGGTTCGTTTATTGTCCATGCTGCCCACCAAGACTTTGGAGACTTTGTCTTATTTTTACTAAATGCTTCCTCCCATTTCTTTACATTTCTCGAAACCAGGATCTCACGGCTGTCCTGATAGAGTCATCCCAACCTGACACTGTAGTGAATTCAGTTTACCAGCAAACATGGGTGGACTCTACCCTGTCCACACAGGTCACTATGGTTATGACATGACGGGATCACATGGCCAACCTATGCGTTCTCCTCCCTGCCACTCCTAACTTCCTGTTCTCCCTTTATCCCTATAGGTTCAGAGACCTGTATCCTTCTGCCCAGAAAGTGTCCCGATAATCGGGGTCACCTACGGAGCACGCGATTCCCATTAGACATCGAGCGGAGAGGTCCCGGTCTGAGTGCACCTCTGGAGGCAGGGGAGAACTCCAGGATGCAGCATCCCCTGCACATCTCGGCGTGGCCAGCATAGAAACTACACTGACTGAGATCAGTTCCTGTGAATACCAAGGAGAAGCCTGAAAACTGAGCCCTGGGGTCCTGCCAATTTCAGAGACGACGAGGATGAAGAGCTAGGAGGTAACTGAGAAGGGACCGCCACCGGCAAGAAGAAAGCTGGTATTGTCGCCTGTCTATAACTGATCCTTCCCAAGAAAGGCAGGTTTACAAAGAACTAAAGATGGAGGGTGTGGGACTCAGATCGGATTCGGATCTCAGTCCCACACTAAGTGCTGGGACTTTTATATACTTTATATATGCTGCTGGGTCCAGTTTAGGACCTGGAGGGTGTTTGTTTGCTGAGTAGTCATTCATTATGCACCACTGCACCCTGGGCATAAGTTGAGTGCCAAGGGAATTAATGGGAGAGAATAAAACAAAGTCCTTGGCCTCAGGGAGCTCACAGTGGGTAGGCAGGGAGCAGCCATGGAGGCTGATGATTCTCCTCCTCATCACCATGTGATAAATTCCTTAATGAAGGGTGAGCCATGCACCAAGAGAACAGAGAGGAGGGAGTGATTAATGCAGCCCAGGGAGGGCCTGACAAGTAGGCTCTTTTTCCTTATTTGTCTTTTATATGTCATCTTCCCCAAGAAAATCATGACTCTTCTGAGCACCCCAATTGATCTGTATAACTTAGAAGAATTTTTCCTTTTTTCTTTTCTTGTTTCTTTTTAAATTTTTAGATTTTTGCTATAAAGTAAGTATGTTCAGAGAAAGACACAAAGAGAGATGGGAAAGTAAGAAATAACTCCCCTCCCCAGGGAAGTTGGCCATGCCACAATCCCTTTCCCAGTCTTCTCTCAGGATTTTGGGCATGCACACTTGCACAGAGTGATTTTCATACCCTGAGTCTAGGGCTCGAACTGCTAAGTCAGCCACGTGAGATCCAGATGCCTTAACCTCCATGCCACCTGCTGGCCCCAAGAACTTTTTTCTTTTGGAGAGAATAAGGAGAAAATAATTCCTTAGGATAAAGATCATGGCCTTACTAAAAAATAAATTAGGAATTATGGGACCAGCAGATGGAGTAATAGTTATGTCACTGGACTCCCATGTATTAGACCATGGTTTGATGCCTGGACCTGGTGTCTTGAAACTCACGCCAGGAGCATGTATGTGCATGCCCAAGATCCCAAAAGGAGACTGGAGGAGAAGGGGTTGTGACTTGGCCATCTCCCTCCCCCCGCCCCCGGGGGGTGATTTCTCACTTTCTGTCTCTGTGTTTCTCTGGCAAGTGCCCATACCTTTTACCAAAAATATCTAAAAAAAAAAAAAAAAAATTAGGAATTATGATCTTCAATGAAATTGAGTCTATAATTTCTTGTTAGCCCAAATCAGTGTTCTCCCACTTTTGTCTGTCCCCAAATAACTCCCTATGATAGCCTTGACAGCCCAGTGGTAACTACTGAACCCCTGACAGATGGCATGGTGGGCCACCATAATCTTCATCCTCTTCCTGACAATTGTGTACCTTCTGTTTAGGAAGCAGCTTTTCTCCTTCAGATAATGAAGTCCCTGGAACATCAGCTTTTTTCATATTTACATTAATGAGCATAAATTTACAATGAACAAGATATGTTATATGTAATTTTTTAAATTACCAGCGAGTATGTGCATGAGAGAGAGAGAGAGAGCTCCACAATGGAATGTGGTCATGACACAATCCTTTTTCTTCCATTCTTTCTTTCCATCAGTATTTTCGGCACACAACACACATGCTCCCATCATTTTTTTTTGTCTCCAGGGCTGGGATTTGAACCATGGTTGGCTATGTGGAATCCAGCACCCTTAACTGCTAAACTACGGGACCAGCCTATGAATAAGATAGCATATCATCTTTGTGTGTATTTTTATTTTCTATTGCTTTCTTCTTCATGTATCCATCCTGGTTAGAACTAAAAACCTGAAAAATAAAAATTTCTTCTTGGATCACAGGGGACAATGCTCAACTCCTACCCATGCTGTCCTCATCTCTCTTAACTAAGAACTTGCCCTGTCTCAGATACATTCACTGTCTCCCACCTCAACCATCAAGGGATGTCAAGTAGTCATCTCAAGCTATGTGAGTTGAATTATCTGGATGCTTCTTTGTTGGATGAAGCAAGGTCTCTGAACCAACAGGGATAGAGGGGGAACACAGGAAGTCAGGAACAGTGGGGAGCAGGACGTTTAGGTTGGCCCATATCATCCCCCTTATGTCATAACCATATCCACACAGTGACCCAAAAGAATGGTGTGGAGTCCACCCATATTTGCTGGTTCACAACAGTGTCATACTGTGATGATTCTATCAGGAGGCCTCAAAATGTTTAGAAATAAAATGTTTAGCTAGTAATGTCCTTTCATGAATTTATTATAAATGCTTGCACCAAAAATTCCACAAAGGCAGGTTGTAAAACTGCAGTTCCATGTTGAATGAGGTGGAGAGTGAGCCTTACCTGCAACCTTCCAGCTCCTCTACTTGTGTCTGAAGATACAACTTGGGATTTTGAACAAGTGTTTGGATAAATGTTTGGATAATTTTGTCCCCTGTTGCTCAAGTTGTTGTAACTTTGTTACTGGCAAACTAAGTCTGGCTGCTTGATCTCAGTCAATGAAATGAGAGGCAGAGGCTGGAGAAGAAAGGCGTTTTTTTTTTTTTTTCTTTCTCTTTTTTTTGGAAAGGTTTTTGCCATAGGGCGCGTGTGCTCGTTCTTTCTTTCCATCAGTATTTTCGGCACACAACACACATGCTCCCATCATTTTTTTTTGTCTCCAGGGCTGGGATTTGAACCATGGTTGGCTATGTGGAATCCAGCACCCTTAACTGCTAAACTACGGGACCAGCCTATGAATAAGATAGCATATCATCTTTGTGTGTATTTTTATTTTCTATTGCTTTCTTCTTCATGTATCCATCCTGGTTAGAACTAAAAACCTGAAAAATAAAAATTTCTTCTTGGATCACAGGGGACAATGCTCAACTCCTACCCATGCTGTCCTCATCTCTCTTAACTAAGAACTTGCCCTGTCTCAGATACATTCACTGTCTCCCACCTCAACCATCAAGGGATGTCAAGTAGTCATCTCAAGCTATGTGAGTTGAATTATCTGGATGCTTCTTTGTTGGATGAAGCAAGGTCTCTGAACCAACAGGGATAGAGGGGGAACACAGGAAGTCAGGAACAGTGGGGAGCAGGACGTTTAGGTTGGCCCATATCATCCCCCTTATGTCATAACCATATCCACACAGTGACCCAAAAGAATGGTGTGGAGTCCACCCATATTTGCTGGTTCACAACAGTGTCATACTGTGATGATTCTATCAGGAGGCCTCAAAATGTTTAGAAATAAAATGTTTAGCTAGTAATGTCCTTTCATGAATTTATTATAAATGCTTGCACCAAAAATTCCACAAAGGCAGGTTGTAAAACTGCAGTTCCATGTTGAATGAGGTGGAGAGTGAGCCTTACCTGCAACCTTCCAGCTCCTCTACTTGTGTCTGAAGATACAACTTGGGATTTTGAACAAGTGTTTGGATAAATGTTTGGATAATTTTGTCCCCTGTTGCTCAAGTTGTTGTAACTTTGTTACTGGCAAACTAAGTCTGGCTGCTTGATCTCAGTCAATGAAATGAGAGGCAGAGGCTGGAGAAGAAAGGCGTTTTTTTTTTTTTTTTCTTTCTCTTTTTTTTGGAAAGGTTTTTGCCATAGGGCGCGTGTGCTCGCCAGACAGACAGAGAGAGATAGAGAGACAGAAAGCGAGAAATCACCTGCCAGGGGGGTTGGCCACACGCAATCCCTTCTCCTCCATTCTCCTCTCGGGATCTTGGGCATGCACGCACACGCCCCCGGCGTGAGTTTAAGCCACTGGGACCGGGACTCGAACCGCGGTCAACTACATGGGAGTCCAGCGACATAGCCATTACACTAACTGCTGGTCCCGAGGAGGACATTTTTCAACCTCACAGGAGCTTACTCTGGAACCAGTACTAGTTCTCCAAAGAACAAAAAGACCTTGAAAAATCATTAATAGAGAAAAATCCAGAGAATTAAAAAATTAAAAAAAACTAGCCATTTTTTTTCCTCCATAGGGTAAGAAAGGAGGGGCTTCTGAATCCTATCAGGAAAGATTAATTTGGTACAACCCAATTAGTAATATTGAGCATCTCCTCTATGCTAGACCACTAGGAACGAAATGCTGTGGCTCTTCCTGTGGGACAATTTATCACCTCCTGTGGAAAGCAGAAGAATGCACTCCAGGAAATTATTACAACAGACTCTCTCCAGGGCCACTGGGGCATAGGTGTTAGCTGCCCTGGTTAGCGCTGTGTGACCAGCTATCTTAGGAGAGAAATGCTCTTGTGTTCCCCTGCAGTGTCACTCTGCATAGTAATAACCTGACTCCCGGATTCAAGGAAGAGTTTGCTCCTAGTGCTCAGGGTGTCTAAGTTGAGAGGTGAGACCCAGCAGCCAGCATTCCTTCTGTCTAGGTCTAAAGCTCAGGATGAAACGTAGCTCCAGGCTAGTGCTAGTAGGTGGCATGGCGGTTAAGGCAGCTGGATGCCACATAGCCAGCTGAAGGGTTTGAGTCCTGGACCAGCAACTTGAAAATCATGATGGGGGACCAGCAGGTGGCATGCTGGTTAAGGTGGCTGGACCCCACGTGGCCGACCGTGGTTCAAGTCTCGAACCAGGAGGCTTTCTTTCTTTCTTTCTCTCTCTCTCTCTCTCTTTCACACACTCTCATTCTCACTCTGTCCCTCCCTGGTCAAGTTAAAATAAATGAATAAATAAGTAAAATAAAAATAAATAAATAAATTTCTTTAAAAAGTTCTTTAAAAGAAAAGAAGAGAAAATTATGATGGGTACAAATGCATGTGAGCTCAAATCCTGAGAGGAGAATGAAAGAGGAGAATTACAGTGTGACCATCCCTCCTGGGGTGTGAGTTCTCATTTTGCCTCTTTCTGGAAAGTGTACATACCTTGTAGTAGAAACTAAAGGAAAAAAAAGAAAAAAGAAAGAAGGAAATGTAGCTCTGGGCTTTTCCATTGGCCAGGTGTTTTCAATCCAGGACATGGCATGTCCCAAACACTGTA